ACCCTCATCACATCTCACCATGATCCCGGTCAAATCCACTGAAATCTGCCGGCTTAGCTTGTAAAAGATCCACTCGCCGCCTGGAGACCCAACGTTTACCCAAACTGTAGCAGGATTTTGCCTGTGGAATCCATTCACAACCCTTGAGTTGCCCATCTGGGCCCCACACGATTATCAACTGCCGCCTTTTCGTGCTGTTCTTCTCTTCAACGGACGAAATTACTCGCTTCTGCAACAGAGAGGGGCCGATCAAAACTACTGCGCGGGAGCTGATGGACATCAATCAACCTAGAGCATCAGACCCATCAGACCCAACCACAAAAAACGAAACTTTGAAAAGCTAAGGTTTCTCTGCCCGGCCTGCCGCGCTTCCGCGGTTAACACGGGCAAGCTGCTGTCTCCGTACAACTGCTTCCGAACTCGGCTGAGTTCATCGTCTGCCAGCTGCTTCTCAAGGAGCTCCTAGGGGCGCGGCATTTCTGGTGTAAATTCTCGCGTGAAAGTTCTGTTGTGAGATCTCCATGTGCATTTCGACTGCGCAAACTCGCACAAAATGAGCGCCGCACTTTTGCTGTGTTTTGGTCTGCAGCATTTTCATTGAAAATTCTCGCATATAGGTTCCCTTGTGAAATGTTCACGTGCATTTTGACTGCGCAGGCTCGCAGAAGATGTAAGCTTAAGTTTTGCCTTTTCCCAAGGGCTCGTTTTACTAGCGGGCCGCGCTCGTTTTTGAGCTATGCGCATTTCGTGTCGCAGGCCTGAGGCATCCGGGAAATTTTGAGGTCTAAAACGCTGTTTTGAGCTGCAGGTGCTGGACATCTGGCACTTTTTCATCCGCGTGGCAGGCGTGGCATTTTCTAGGCGTTGCTAAAACGTTGGCAGGCGTGGGTCAAAATTAGAGGTCGTTTTTGGAAGCCATTTTGTGTGGCCGGCGCACTATTTGGCGAATTTGAGCGGCTAGAAAGCTTCGTTTTGTGAAACTGTCATTTTTGATTTCGGACATGATGATGATTCGGTGTGGCAAGTGCAGCACTTCAGATTCCTCCGGCTCCTTTTTGCAAAAAGAAACGGAACCTCGGTAAAACATCGGCTTTGACATTTTCAATGTTCGTTTTTCGTGGTGTGCGCAATGTTTTGTAAAAATCTATTTTGTGCTCGCGCAAGACTCTCGTGACTTTGGGCGTGTCGGATCGCTCTCGTTGTGGCGCGGTGCGAGTTTGGATCTCGCTCGCGCAACCGTTTCGGCACTTTGCACGTGGCAGATCGCTCTCCTTGTGGCACGGTGCCAATTTTGATATCGCTCGCACAACCTTCTCGGCACTTTGTGCCTGTCAGGTTGCTCTCGTTGTGGCGCGGTGCGAATTTGGATCTCGCTCGCGCAACCGTTTCGGCACTTTGCACGTGGCAGATCGCTCTCCTTGTGGCATGGTGCCAATTTTGATATCGCTCGCACAACCTTCTCGGCACTTTGTGCCTGTCAGGTTGCTCTCGTTGTGGCGCGGTGCGAATTTGGATCTCGCTCGCGCAACCGTTTCGGCACTTTCCACATAGCAGATCGCTCTCCTTGTGGCACGGTGCCAAGTTTGATATCACTCGCACAACCTTCTCGGCACTTTGTGCCTGTCAGGTTGCTCTCGTTGTGGCGCGGTGCGAATTTGGATCTCGCTCGCGCAACCGTTTCGGCGCTTTGCACGTGGCAGATCGCTCTCCTTGTGGCACGGTGCCAATTTTGATATCGCTCGCACAACCTTCTCGGCACTTTGTGCCTGTCAGGTTGCTCTCGTTGTGGTTCGGTGCGAATTTGGATCTCGCTCGCGCAACCGTTTCGGCACTTTGCACGTGGCAGATCGCTCTCCTTGTGGCACGGTGCCAAATTTGATATCGCTCGCACAACCTTCTCGGCACTTTGTGCCTGTCAGGTTGCTCTCGTTGTGGCGCGGTGCGAATTTGGATCTCGCTCGCGCAACCGTTTCGGCACTTTGCACGTGGCAGATCGCTCTCCTTGTGGCATGGTGCCAATTTTGATATTGCTCGCACAACCCTCTCGGCTTTTTGTGCCTGTCAGGTTGCTCTCGCTGTGGCGCGGTGCGAATTTGGATCTCGCTCGCGCAACCGTTTCGGCACTTTGCACGTGGCAGATCGCTCTCCTTGTGGCACGGTGCCAATTTTGATATCGCTCGCACAACCCTCTCGGCACTTTGTGCCTTTCAGGTTGCTCTCGTTGTGGTGCGGTGCGAATTTGGATCTCGCTCGCGCAACCGTTTCGGCACTTTGCACGTGGCAGATCGCTCTCCTTGTGGCACGGTGCCAATTTTGATATCGCTCGCACAATCCTCTCGGCACTTTGTGCGTGTCAGACCACTCTCGCTGTGGCGCGGTGCTGATTTTTGATTCTGTGAGATCCTGGTAAAGAGATCTGATCAGGTCCTTCTATGACGATCTTGCAAGAGTTTGATGGTGCAGTCCCTAATATATGAAGATCTTGACCAAGGTGTTGTAAAGGTCCGTATGAGAAGGTGCTGTGAAGATCCTGATGAAACCCTCTAAGAGGTCCTTGCATGATTTTGCCTCCGGGTGGACAACCGAACGTGTAGCTGTCACTATTTTGATTGTCTAACATCTTGGGGTGGGGTGGGTAAGGTGGGGTGGGGTATCATTGTCCTTGGTGCGTTATTGGCTTCTCTAACATCTTGCACGGGGTGGGTGAGCATCTCTTGTAAGTTATCTTCCAACTACGTTGTTATCTCGTTTACAGTATTAACTTCCAACTACGTTAGCATCCCGTGTAAGACATCTTCCAAGTACATTGTTATCTTGTCTATCAACTTCCAGCTACGTTAGCATCCCAATGGCGCTGGGAATCCCTGAAACACGGAAATATCCTCATGTCTCTGACTGGCAAGACCTTGGCACAGATGTGACCACACTGATGTCACCAGCTCTGCAAAAAAAATCGCCGCTTTCATGTGCAAAAACTATGGCCCCACTGTCACCTTGTGAAATGACCCCAAAAAATAGAGTACTTTTCTGGGTGTGAAATGTCAAAATTTGATGGCCCGCGCACAGAAAAGCAATAAAACCAATGGAAATGAGACGCAAACTTGACAAAAAGAAATGAAATCCATTGCAAAACGCAAAACGACACAGAATCCACAAACATTAAAAAGGCAACGCCGCCACGTTCAATTACCCACCCGGCGGGATGACTTTGTAGAGGTCCTTGTGAGAAGATCTTGCGAAGATCCTGCTGAAATCCACAAAGAGGTCCTTGCATGATCTTGCACAGGTCCTTATGAGAAGATCTTGTGGAGATCCTGGTGAAATGCCATCTTGCATGATCTTGTACAGGTCCTTGTGACAAGATCCTGTGGGGATCTTGGTGAAATCCTTTCTAAGAGGCTAGCATTATCTCGGACAGGTCCTTGTGAGAAGAGCTTGTGGAGATCCTGTTTAAATCAGCCTCAAGAGGTCCTTGCAGTAAGATCTTGAAGATGCTCTGCATTGGTGCTTGTATGAAAGTTCTTCTCGGATGTTCATAGAAAGTTCTTCTATGAGGATCTTGTGAGATATAGAAGGTCCTTCTTTGACAATCTTTTGAAATTCTCTTAGATGTCCTGGTATTAGGTTCTGGTATGAGGTCCTGATGAGTAGACAGCGTTGCTTCTTGCGCCCCAAACAAATATATACTGTCTCACCTGATCTGTTACTGTTCCATAGATACTGTTGCTTGCACCTGGTACAATGACTTCCTACCCCGACCCTGTTTGGCGTCTCTTGCTGCTATATTGTTTTTGCGAAGAATCTGTGGACATCTGCCATCTGCTATCATCTGCCGAGACCCGCTGGCCTCCAAGAGATCTTCTGACAGATCTTCCAGCAGCACATGGTGACATGCCAACAATCGAAGATCTAAGGCTTCCAGCACCTGCAGTCGGCCATGAAATAAGATGACTTGCCACCCACAATAGCCAACTCGAATTTAGCAAATCCCGCCCCAAGAATAGATGAAGCTATGAGTTCCAGAGACTACGGGAGGCTATGATGTGAAGGGGTCCCCCAGTGTTTTTCAGCATTCAAAGCTGGGGACCTATGAGACATTCAGAGTGGCATTCAGAACATCTACAATCTACAAATGACCTGACTGAATTTTATCCTGCGACCCCATGTGGCCACAGGTCGAAGTAGTGCATTTGAAATCATCTTTCCCTCGTCCTTCAACTTCAACTGCCATTTGAACATGCATCTCGTGCTACTGCCACAGGCTCACAAAACACAATCGCCCACACAGCCTGATTCCGACTCTCACCTGCCAGATAGTTACGAATCTGCTGCGCCAAATAATCCTGGCCGAAGGCAATTCCAGTGCCGGACTCACTAAGGCTATCGACTCTCCAAGTCACTTGCAGCTATTTCTATGGGCCTCAGAGTATTGAATCTGTATTTCAGCTAGCATCTATCCACGTGGATATGAATGTGTATATTATATCTATCTATCTATCTATCTATCTATCTATCTATCTATCTATCTATCTATCTATATATAAATACATATGTATATATATATATACATATATATATACACATATGTATATATATATATACATAATGGACATATACGCATTTACATAAAGACATCAACAAACACATACGCACATATCTAGATACATACATACTCATATACCCGCATACACACGTATCCATATACACACATACACACATACCAACCAATCAACCAACAACTGCAAACGGACCACAAACGTCCAAGCGCTTCCCCATGCAGTCAGTCCCCTGCACAAGTACTAAGACCCTTACGCTGCCCTTAAAAGACAGCGAATAAGGCTGCAATTCGTCACCAATGCACGCTACTCGTCAGGGGCAGCGACGACGTGCAAAGGCGGCGCTGCCCGACACAGCAAGCAGAACAACAACAGCCAGCCCAAAAACTCCCCACCGCCCCGACGCCACACCCCCACACACCCAAACAACCAACAACTGCAAACGGACGGCAAACATCCATCCATCCATCCATCCATCCATCCATCCATCCTGCATCCATGCATCCATGCATCCATGCATCCATGCATCCATGCATCCATGCATCCATGCATCCATGCATACTTACACACGTACACACGTACACACGTACGCACATACGCACGTACGCACGTACGCACGTACGCACGTACGCACGTACGCACGTACGCACGTACGCACGTACACGTACACAGACATACATACACACACACACACATGCACACATACACAAATACGCAAATGCGTCACATACACACAGACAGATACGGATACGAATACCAATGCAGATTTGGGCACATAGAACATGATTGTACCTATAATAATATGATAACATGTGTTTGTGATTACGTATTCGTGTGTGTGTGTGTGTGTCTGTGTGTTGAAAATGTATGGTGGACTGTACAACGCGGCAGGCACTCTCTCTGAACCCTGTGACTGAACGGATTGATCATCCTTGGCTTTTCAGATTTGCAAAGATGCTGTTATGGATGATGTGAATTATGTACATATGTGCTTCTACTTTGGGGGGGTTAAGGTCTCAGACATAAAAAATCATACAAAGAAGGCTAGGGTGGCCCTGATCGATGACAAACTCTGCGGTTTGAGAATGGAAGCGTCAAAAATCAAGATCAACAACCTAAGCGTCCAAAGCTACCCGAAAAAAAAAGACCCAAATTCTAAAGCATCTGCCGATCTGTGGGCCGTGCGGCACCTGTGTGTAGCCGCTGTTTTTCAACTGCCCACACAGACTCGACACGCTCTGGGACTCTCTCTCCCCACTTTCAACCTCTCGAAGGACGGCCTCGCAGGTCGTAGCAGGTCGTAGCAGCTTAGAAATGATGTTCACCCGAAGTATGGAGGCTAAAATTCTGGAAATTACTGGAATCAAAGTGTTCTTTTATCAAAATATGGCCAGTATGGCAGTGAATGTTGAAGGGATCAAAGAGGGTCGATACGACATGAGACCTCACCGGGAAGACAGATGGAAAACAGAAAAGGAAAAACGACTAACCACGATCACCCAAAATGGCACTCAATTCAAGGGAAGCGAAACCAACAAACCTTGGGTGCTCTTGATGCCGTCGGTTCATTGCGCCACGTAGCAATGATGAAGTATATGATTACGATTGATTACGTAATGAGGAGTCCACTTCTATATATCTTTGGTTGTTTTTCCTGGTTTGGGTGCCATTCAGGCCCGTTGCAGGATGAAATTCCATTGCCCTCAGCACCCATACCCTTCTGGTAGGCATTTGCTCCTACACCCTCTGTCTCTTCACACTAGCCCTCCTTCTTGTCAAATTTCATTTCCGCTGTGCGTGTGTGTTTATGCATTTGAGGCCTCAAAATGGGTGTTTGCTCCAACACCAGGGCCTGAAGTCTCTTCAGGCTCCGCTTTGGTCCTTCCAAAGAATGCAATGGCACCGGCAGCCTGAGTAACAAAATGTGACGCACACTGACCACTTGGGCCCTCTGAGAAGTCTAGGGAAGCATTTGGTTGTTGAAGCAAACCCAAAATAGCACCGGTGGTGGCGCACCAATATTCAAGCGCGATTTGTCAGACTGCCTCCCTGACAGTTCTTCACATTTGGTCTGTTTGTGTTGATCCAACACATGTGCTACAAGAAACTGTTTTCATGATGGAAAACATGTGTCATATGTTTGTCAAAATTGTGCACAGTCTACATTACCAAGCACTGCGTTCAGAAAAAACAAAGATCCAAGGCAACATGTGAAAACCCGCATGCATAGAATGTGTTTGAAGTTCGCAATAATTGCAGTCTGCATCAAACGGCCTGCTCTCACGTAGTTTCACAAGTTTTTCGTCCGGCCCCACCAGGGCCCACACGAATCATGTTGATCATGCAAAGGCGCAACGGATCGCGGCCATATTGATTCAACCACCTCGGATCCACAGATTTCAAATTCTATGTTCCAAATCCCCTTACTCAATCATTTTTTTTTGTCCGAATCGGGCCTCCCGGATCCCAAAAGGTTGGGTCGTTCCCAGAAATTCAACTGACCAAAATGATCTACCCCAGAATCTACCCCCTTTGTTGCACCTAAATTCACTTTTTCTTTTCAACACAAATTTCCACGTTCTGACCATCTGATCTGGGGAGGCCTCAAAATCAACCCATCGGGTGTTTGCTCCCACCCGAAGCCTGAAAACTGTTTGGGCTGTGCTTTGGTCTTTCCAAAGAATGCAATGGCACCGGCAACCTGAGTAACAAAATGTCAACGCACACTGGCCCCTTGGGCCATCTGAGAAGTCTAGCGAAGCATTTGGTTGTTGAAGCAAACCCAAAATAGCACCGGTGGTGGCGCATCAATATTCAAGCGCGATTTGTCAGACTGCCTCCCTGACAGTTCTTCACATTTGGTCTGTTTGTGCTGTTGATCCAACACATGTGCTACAAGAAACTGTTTTCATGATGGAAAACATGTGTCATATTTTTGTCGAATTTGTGCACAGTCTACATTACCAAACACCACATGGAAAAAAAACAAGGATCCAAGGCAACCTGCGAAACCCCGCATGCATAGAATGTGTTTGAAGTTCGCAATAGTTGCAATCTGCTCTTACATACGTTCACAAGTTTTTTGTCTGGCCCCACCAAGGCCCACACGAATCATAATGTTCATGCAGGGGCGCAACGGATCGCGGCCTTATTGATTCAACCACCTCGGACCCACAGATTTCAAATTGTATGTTCCATGTTTTTTCATTCGAAAAAAATCAATTCAAGGATGAGGACGCTTCGTCAGTTGAGTTTATGGGTTCCGACGTGCTGTAGATACAAAATGCTGCAATAATTTCAACCGAAAATCAAATAATTACATTTGTTTGTTGAAGTTCCTATGTGTTGTCAAAGTAAGAAAATCATAGAAAATAAATTTTGTCTGATTAGGTGGGCGGAATCAACAATTTGTGTCCAACATGTTGGGGTCGACAATCTGCAAAGGAACTCATCATTCATTGCATCAAAGACTCATTGGTGCAAATCCGAAATTTGGCCTGCACACAAAAAATTGCAACATGATTGGCACAATAGTTGTTGAATTGATTTTTCCACAGTTGCCACGACCATGATTTGGAAAAAAACGAACATTTCATGGAACAAACATAATGATTTGTGCAACAATGAATCACCACATGTGTTTTGAATGCATTCTGAAACAACAAGTATTGGCGGGCAACGCATTGGATAGTAAGATGCCAGCAATATTCAAAACCCCAATTCAAAAATGACCAAAATGTTGACCGAAACATTGATGATTCGGACAAACACAATTCCTTGCCTTGTTTTGGACACGTCGGGTCAATGCATAACACATTTTTCGCCATACTTAAATCCACGTCACACATGTGACATTTCGCACAATTCGAGAGACAGTGCCCCTTCAAAAATTGCCCACGTACAATTCTGGCATGCACACAAACCATTGTTTCTGGTGATGTGTCCCAACTGAACAATGGTTTGGTGATTGTATGTGGTTTTTGTTTCCGCATGTGGCGGTGTTTCTGTGACAACCACCTAGACTCTTGCAATAAAGTACTGCAACATTTTTTGTTGTTTTCCCAAAATGTACCTAACAAACCAGTGTTGAAATCAGCGTTTGCACGCCATGTCAATGTTCTGCGAAATCTGGATGTTCAATGTCACGGCATCAATGGGCGCGCAGATGGACGAATTGAAACTAAAAAATCCAGGGTGGAAAAACAACATGATTACGAATTTCGCACTGCTTTGCAAAACAAATAAAGTAAATATCCCTTGTGCCACAACCCACATGCAATACAAAAAACACACACACAAACCGGAAAATAAAAAAAAACACAACATTTGCTCAAATCACAACGTCCAAATGCACCGAAAACAAACACAAAACAATGATTGTCCCGTTTAGCTGCGGGTTTGGAGTCACGGTGATTTTGTGGTTTTGTTTATGTTGCCCCTTTGGCGCAATCCAAATTTATAAACCCACGTCTTATCTTCCAACAAAGTGCGGTTGTCTTGTGAAAACTCAAACAAACTGTGTGTCAAAGCGCAGGCTCCCAGGGGTATATCCCAGGTGCCATCAACAAACTGCTAGGGTTAGACCAGAAAGAAGAGAAAGAGACATGGAAGAATGTGCGGGTGGGACAAGGGTGGGAGCACATGCGCCCCCATGTTACTTGACATCAGAATGGCAACCCACACAACAAATATTCAGACTCTTCCTTCGGAACTCTGTAACTTAAAAAACAACGGGTCTGTTTAGTTGTTCGTTTCCACCAGTTTTAGGGAAACACAAAAACTGAAACTAAACAGAGTTTTCACAGATTTGACAACGGCGACGATTTCGCAAACCGAAAACAGTTCACACTTGACAACAGCCGCGAAAACAATTCAACCGCAACAAAGGTGCACAAACAACACGTAACAACAACCGCGTCGCACTACGTTCAGTTACACCACCGTGCAACTTCGCACGGGGAAACGATTTACAGATAAAGCATCATCTACTAAAGCAGAAAATTGTTTATCTTCCAACAATTTCCAAAAAGTGCGGCCTAAACACAAAGCACAACATGCAAGTGCGGTTGTCTTGTGAAAACTCAAACAAACTGTGCGACGCGAAAGCGCGCGATCCCAATCAAACCAAAGAACTGATTCCAATTCCGGCTTCCACGCGCGTTCGGGCGTTCTCATGAATGCCATCTGTGTCAAAAAAATCGTAGGCACAAATTTTACAAATCTATGAATACGCCGCCACAAAACAAAAAAGAACCTCGCATCGAAAACTCTCATGGAAAATGCACTCAACAGACCAAAGCAACCCTTTTTCCAACTACGCTTTGAGTAGGTCGGGGTAGCCATCACCACCCCAAGTGGACATTCAACCACCTCGCCGTCCCATCAAAGCACAGTGCCTGCACCCAGTCGGATGCACAGGTCAAAGTCGAGGCGAGAAGGCCCATCGGCCGAATTGCTGGCTGTGGGCACTCTCCTGAAGTGGGGACACTCTCATCCAACGTGCATGCTTTGAGTCCAACTGTGTCTTCCTCCATCCTTGCTGATGAAGATTACCAGGTGGCGGTCTTCAAGACGTGCCCAGGAAGTCAAAGCCAGACAGTATGGCAGCACTTCAGCCTCAAAGACTCGGTTTCTGTGTTGTCCATTCGGCCGACCCTCCCCTTCCTTCTTCTCTTCCCTCGGTTTTGTTGTCGCTTTGCCATTTTGTCTCCTGTGCCTTCTTTCCTTTTTTTTCTCCGATTTGGCCGATCGCACTAGGCACGGTCCTTACAATTGCGTAAGCGGTGAAAAGCAGTAAAGTATAGGACACGTGTGGTCCAAAAACTCTGGCAAATCATCACGCAACCAAAAACGACCCGCAAATCCCCCAGCCAGATTTGCGTTTCGCCACAAAGCAAAACAGCGAAGCAACAAAGAACGGGGCAGGGCCCAACAAAAAACCAAAACCAAAACATGAGATTTGCCTTGGATACAGTGACCTAAGCCACTGTATCATCCTCAAAAACATGCAAACTAATTAATTGCGGCAGTGCATAGAGTATAGTACACGATCGTCCAGACTGTCTTACCTGAGAAGAGAGAAGCGAATCCAACATTGCAGGCAGACTGATGTGTAACACGACAAAGGCCGCCTGTATGGACGTCTTGTCAATAGCAACTTCGCATCGCTGCTGTTCACTCTGTATCGTTCAGCGTATGCACGGCAGTCTGTTCCTGTCAATATGCACCACCGCAAGGGATTGTAATCTATTTCCCCCCCTAAGTGGGGAGGAGAGCACTTGACAGCCTGCAAAATGGTGTGAGCACTCGCAGGAACCGTCAGAGCGCAATAGGCCCAAGACCCTAAGACCGTGGGTAAAAAGGTGGCTATAGGCCTAACCGGCACAATACGGCCATGACAGACAGATGAAGCTTCCGACCATAGCATGGGCTCGTGAGCACTTCCAGTATGATACTGCCGCTATGTATGCAAAAGTCGCATTCGCATTGCTGTCAAACTCGTTCCCCTAAACTATGAAGGTTGAAGTGGTTCACTGCGTCAGCACTAGGTCTCACACAGGAGTCACTAGGCGTCATCGTCCCAGCAAGTCCTGCGGAGAGGACCAGATGCACCGTATGTTAGCTGTGTTTTCCAGACGAGGCCACTCTCTCCCACCGAGTGGGCCATTGCCAGGGCAGTACAGAATATCCGCACAACGAACCATGTGGGCAGGCTTTGCTGCACTCGGGCGCTCCAGACTGAACAGCAGGAAGCACAACTGGACAGCGCCAGTAGAGCTCACTGCAGTGCAGCCTACTCCATGGCTCTACCGGGAATCTACCGCCCCTCTCGGAAAAAACGCAGAAACAAAACAGAGCGAGAAGGGCCCTTCCCAATACAGCCAAAGAAAGAGCCACAAGACTCAACCAAACCAAACAACAAACGAATTCAAAGGGGAAACAAGGAGAGGGGGGGACGGTGACAAAAACGCCCCACCTCGGACAAATCCTTAGTCACTACCAGATGAGTCTCATGTAGCAAAGGTGAAACGAAAAGTTATGATGTAGAGCGGTAACCTCGGTATCCAGGCAACAGGTGAAGCAAAACGACAAAGAGCCAGCCAAAAGAAAACTGCCATCATGGGGGGAAGCACAAAGGGGGGAGCGGCCAAAGCACAACACACACAACGCCACAAGCCACACAGAGAAAGCGAGGAGAGGAGCCAGGAGGCAGCAGAGGACAGAGTGAGAAAGGACACACCCGCACCAGAAGGGGTACAAACGTGCCTTAGCGGAGTTCAAAAAGGGGCCAAAGATCATACTATGATGAATACCTCAGTGAGGGAGCACACAGCCCCCAACAACACATGAAGCATGGTGTAGAGGGAAAGATCCCCACACAGGGCCAAAGGCCTTTGTTGCCATGAGACATGATGAGGAGGGGAGACAATGCGCAACAAACACTCCACGCACAGAGGCAAGGCAACCAGGCCGTCGCCGGAAGCAACGATACCCAGAGGGAGGGACCAGTAAAACCTGGGCCAAGGCGCCGAAGAGGACCATCCGAGGGGGAGGGAGGGCCACGTCAGGCAGGGAACAGGCAACAAAAACCAGAACTAGATAACAAGGCACCAACACCTAATGTAGCTCTGCTAAGGGCAAAACCTAGGGATTAGTCAACGAATTCAGATACCTTAACTAGTGGGAAGGGTGGGAAAGTGGGTGTCTCGTCAAGACTAAGTCTGGGGAGAATAACAATAGTTTCATTACCCATCGATGATTGTCAGGCAAAGGCTGCGAGAGCGTGCGCTCGTGCAATAGGCTTCATGGTGGAGGCGACCTTAGTATAGTCTAAGCTCTCGACTGGACAACACATTCTGAAAACTAGTGCAAAGAGAAATCATGCTGCCCGATCTGTTATGCCTAAGTTGGCACTCACACACAACTACAAATGCGGCTACCAACTGTTGAGAGATCTGAGTAGGTAGGGGCCAGGCATGTACAGCATCATGAACCTAACAATTATAAATGAGGAAGAGCTGTGTCCCCTACTGCATACCAGTGCACCTGTCACGTCTTTGGACAGACACACCGGTATGGACAGTAACCTTAAGTAGACATGACGACGGGACCAAATAGAGATTTAGGTCAACTCCCACCACCATTGTTGATGAAACAAAGGCCGAATACTGTGTGAGGGAGCAATGGGGAGTGAAACCGAAATGAGACAAAAGAGGAAGGGGGGGAAGGGGTGGACACAGAAAGGGTATAAGTGGTGCGAGCAGGGGTGAGCTGGGGATCATGTCATACCTCTCGTGAAGTGTTCCAAATAATGCTTTTTATCCGATGTGATAGTGTCGTTCCATTCGTTGGTGAGTCCAAACGAAACTGGGTTCACTCCTTGCTGAGCAATAGCACGCTGGTGAAGCGCTCGGATCGCCCTTTGATGTTCGTCCAGATCTTCAGGAGAGACTCTCTTGCGGACTTTCCTGTCCGGGAAGTTTCGTTCCCGCAGGTTGGTTTGCAAGGCATGTCCCGCTACATAAACTGCAGGTTGCTGGAATAAAACTCGCTCTGCAAATCTGTGGAGATGCACTGTCCACTCAGCAAACATATGGCTGTGTGACAGTTGATTCCTGAGTCGCGCTTCCGTTTGATGAAGGCTTCCATTGGTATGCCACAATCGCAACAGACTGTAGTTGGAAGGCCAATCAAGTGGGCACAGTGTGGCTGTTTCTTTCCACTTTTCAGGTGTAAGCCCTACTTGAGAGGGTATGATCACTTCCAGAGTAGTGCGATTCGGTCCCAACGGTTGGAGACCTCGCATCATGTATGGTTCAACGAGCCCTGTGGTATATCCATGGATGAGCTCCTGGAAACATCCAGCCATTTGAAAGTCTTCATCCAATCCAAGGCGAAAACCAGGCATGTTTTTGGCAGCAAATTTAACTGCCTGGAGTAGCTGCTTTGTTCCCTCCACTGGAGTCTCGTCACAGGAACGTTTCGGGCACGTGATGTTGATTTCTTGTGGTTTCTGCGCATTCTCAGGAGCATTCTCGAGAAGTTTGGGAGCAATTTTGCTGGCCCAGCTAGCCGGGAACCATGCCAGTAGGGCAGAGGCACCACTCGTAAGGTCCACTAACCCAGTAGTGCGTCGATGCGGCCGATCTGTGACCAAGACTTTAACTGGGCCACTCGGCGCTCGACTTCGATTCACCTCAGAGCTCTCTCGGGCCGAGCCAATGAGTTCAGACAGGATGGGCCGAAACCAGTAAGTGGCATACAACAGGCATTCAGTTTCTGGAGTCACCATGGATTCAGCCAATCTCATCAGCGAGCTCATCGCCTGGGCGAGCTTCTCTGCCAGTCGAATTGTGAGAGCTCTTGCCGTCTGCTGGAGGACATCCTCCACACTGGCAATTTGCCCGCGCAACCACAGTTCACAGGCCACACTCAGCAAGATGCGCGCAAACTTTTCTTGGATGGCAGTCAAAGACAACGTCAATCTCGCCTGTAGCCACAGCGGCGGGAGAATTCCAAGGTTTTCGGGTATGCAAAAAGGGTTTCCGTTAGGTTGGACATTAGTAATCAGAATTGCTAGCTGGTCAGCTGCACTCGCGATCTCGTCTTCAGAGGGATCTTCAGCTGCATCAGGTATGGGTGGGCACCACGCAACTGTAGGGTCTTCTGGATCACTTTCGTCATCGGTAGAGGCTGCTTCCTCATCCGAGGAGGGGTCATTCACTGTGTCTCCTGCACCCTCAGGGCTTGCGAGTTTCATAGACCCTGGATCAAATTGGCGATCCAATGTGGCCAAAAGGTCCGGCTACAACCGATGGGCATCGAAGTAATGGATACCCGGGATTACGACAAGTTGTCGATCCTGTATACCCACGTGAAAGAAGACTTTGTGGCCTCTATGTCGATGAACAAGTGCTGGGGACCCATTATAGGCTGCACATAGCCAGAGGGGAGATCTGTAACCATCAGCAGCGTAACCATACAAGTATTCACGATCAATCGAGCAGGGGAAAAACCCGCTGGCCGTCAGCACATGGTCACGTGTGCGGGACTCTAGCGCTGCGAGGACATCAGGGGGAAGACGTAGTTTGTCTCTGCATGCCACAACCAACCGATATCGCCGCCACGCTCGTGTTCCATTAGTGGTCACTATCATGGCAATAGCAAGGGGGGGTTTATCTTGGGGAATGAAAGGTGCCTTTAATCCCCAGTCCAGTATGGCACTTTTGTCGCTGGGGTAGGTTGTAGGGCCATGGTACTGAATGTCTCGGCCTTTCAGCGTGAAGTATCCATAATGGTACACTCCTATTGTCTGAGCCATGCCAATCATGCCTGCCATATCGAGAGGCGAGACAATATAGGTATGTTCAATGCCTCTTGTCAGCGCTACAGTTGCTCTTCCATAGCAGTCCTCACGCTCGTCTGCTGTTGCATCCCTACGTCC